ATAAGCACAAAAGAATGAAAGAAACGGTGTATGTACGTAATTGAATGAGATTTTTTGTCATATTGGTATAGGATGGGATCTATCTGAAAACATGAATTAACAATATTACGAAATTTATACAGGACTATTTGAACCTCGTGTAAGAACCATTTTGATAAATGTGATTTCCCTACTTTCTTATATCTTATATTCAAGATCTTTTCTTAGTGTGAAATAATCATTTGAAATAGACAATGACCTTTCAGATTATAATTTGTCCGAGCCATAGTATCGGGAAATCTTCCTCGCAACTCTAATGCATAGTTTCTTCCATCACATACACTCAAAAATGAGTATTTCAAAATGTGATGTGCAAAATCATAATACCAACCGAAAATAGACATAATCTAATCAATGAAACCAACCAATCTCGAGTTTTCATACAATCATTCGCGCCTTTTTAATGTTAAAATCAAAGCACCAAGATGTTAAAATTGTCTTTAATAGGGTTGTGAGGAAGCGTGGTGGTGATGAATTTGGGTTTGTTAAAATTGTATGGATTACATGTTTATTGTAAAGTATATCCAACTTCAAAAATGGTCATATTGTGTAAGACTAATATCCTCTAACTTTTTGCAGATAATGAAGTAGTTATATCACTTTGCGGATTGTATGTTTTTTTGAATTTTTACGATCAAACCTGCCAACGACTGATGTTAAAGTGGTATTAATGTTACAATCTGTAATAGTATTGCTCAAATTCAAGATTTGTTTTCAAACACACATTCCATTAGTTTCTCAATTATCTTATGAAATTTTTATTATTTAATACTGCCACATTATCAGTAAAAGTAATCTGATGGAAAGGCTAATGGAAGTTACCTGACTCAAATAATTTTTCATTATAGCCACAAAACTTTTCCAAATAGATATTTTTCAATTCCTTAAATTTTTCGTTAGCATAAATCAATTGTAGAATTTTAATTGGGTTCTCTTTTATATAATCTTCATTATTTTCAATAAAATGTTTTATCATATATTCGAAAAGCAGCTCAATACCAAATCAATAACAGTTCTAATACCTCGGCTCCAGAATAATTTTCAATTCAATTTTACATGTATACAAAGTCTTTCAAAATAAATCCAATCAATTCTCTCAAAAATATCCAGAAAATATTTGTCAATGCCAACAACATCAGTGTCTGTTGAAAGACTTTTCAGTAATGATAGATCTCAAGAGTGCATGTTTAACAACTAAACTTGTTAACGAGCTTTTGCTTTTAAATAGAAACAAACCTTATTGATTTTGACCAAATGAAAATGAAATTAAAATGATCTAGTTAAAAAATTTCACGTGATTAAATTAACGGTTAATATTAGCACGGTTCCAACCTGGAATGTTTTCAAATGTCATGTGGATCAAAAAAATATGAAGATATTTATTTATAAGTAGCTTTTAAGTTAAAATTGCAGTTGTTTGTCCTTTTTTTTTATTTATTTTTAAACTTAAAAAATGTATCTAGCCAATATATGGCAGCGTATAAAGTTTTCTTGTAATTTACATTTTGCAATCACGAAAACTTAATTCTGAAACATCACTTTCAATTGGTATGTTATGTATACTATATTTAATAAATGATTGTTAGATTGAATTGTCAAACAATATAGATATATTAATTTATCGGATTCTTGACTAAAACCAAGTTATTTATCAGGCAAAAATTTAAAAAAATCATGGATTCTGATTGGAATATGGAAGTGAACTGGTAATGAATGGTAATTGTAATTCTTTACGTCAGTTTACATCTTATTTACTATTACTATAATTAATTATGTCAAAAACTAACCAATCAATTATAGATATACATTGTCGAAATAGTCAGCTAACCACTTATGTAATCTACAAAAATAAATTACATGATATCCGGTTATTTATGCTTGATTTTAATGGTCATCTAGGTGAGAAGATACAATAGAGCTTTTTCACCTGGGTCGATTGATTTAAATCTTGATATGTGGAACAGCAAAAAATTATTGACAATTGTGATGTTCTGAAAATAAAATGCAGGAAGCGAATTATCTGCTATTTTGCTGAACCAAAGCACTATAAACTGTATCAGCCACTTTCCATCAATTGGTTTCTACAGATTATAAGCGGCAGAGACATCCATATCTTTAATAAAAACAAATTCAGATGCATCATTTGTCATACAATATTGCCAATGGCATCAGAATTATCGGGTAATTTACTATAGCCATATAATATTTTTTTTAGACAACAACACTTTTCAGAAATGTTGAAAATTAATTCTTTGTGTAAAAGATGCTTTATCACCACAGGATAATTAATAATTTATTCCTCTATTGTCAAAAAGTCTCTTTTTTGAAAATCTAAAGATACATAATTGCCACCAAAAAAAAACAGAATATTTTCTTTAATATCAAAGAAAAAATTCAACATTTCTTTTTTGAGAATATAAAGATACTTGATTGTTACTAATTCATTTCTTTTTGATTGTCAAAAAAAAGTCAACATGTCTCTTTGAAAATGTAAAGATATTTGGTCGCTACTAAAAAAAAAAAGAAAAAAGCCAACATGTCTTTTTTGAAAATGCAAAGATACTTAGTCACCACTAAAAAAAAACAGAATTGATTTCTTCATCGAAAAAAAAGCCAACATGTCTTTTTTGAAAATGTAAAGATACCTAGTCACCACTAAAAAAAAAAAACAAGATAATAATCTGAAGATAAAAAAACGGTACAATACTAATTTTTAATATTATTCGAACATATTAAACAATTTCCTTAAATGTAAAATAAACAAATTTTTTTGAACACGTATATATGCATATAAATATAATAATAATTGACGATTTGTACATGACGAAATTCATATTTATCGCTAAGGATCTTTTGACGAAATTGACAAAATTGATTTAGCCAATCAAATCAGATATATAATTGCGATACTTGCCGATCACTAAATAAATTTTAGTGACGTGACGGACGATTGATTCCTATATAAACATGATTGATTTTGAGATTGACATCAAAAAAATTTGCAACATTAAAAATA